GAGGCCATCACTCTTAGAGGAGGCCATTGCTATTAGGCTAGAGGTCGTTGCTAGTTGGAGGCCATCGCTCTTAGGTTTGAGGCCATCACTCTTAGGTTGGAGGCCATTGCTATTAGGCTAGAGGTCGTTGCTAGTTGGAGGCCATCACTCTTAGAGGAGGCCATTGCTATTAGGCTAGAGGTCGTTGCTAGTTGGAGGCCATCGCTCTTAGGTTTGAGGCCATCACTCTTAGGTTGGAGGCCATCGCTATTAGGCTAGAGGTCGTTGCTAGTTGGAGGCCATCGTTATTAGGCTAGAGGTAGTTGCTAGTTGGGGGCCATCACTATTGGGGCTGGAGGCCATTGCTAGTAGGCTGGAGTCCATTGCTATTCGGCTAGAGGTCGTTGCTAGTTGGAGGCCATCGCTCTTAGGTTTGAGGCCATCACTCTTAGGGGAGGCCATCGCTATTAGGCTAGAGGTCGTTGCTAGTTGGAGGCCATCGCTATTAGGCTGGAGGCCATTGCTAGGAGGCTGGAGGCCATTGCTATTAGGCTAGAGGTTGTTGCTAGTTGGAGGCCATCGCTCTTAGGTTTGAGGCCATCACTCTTAGGTCGAAGGCCATCGCTATTAGGCTAGCGGTCGTTGCTAGTTGGAGGCCTTTGCTATTAGGCTGGAGGCCATTGCTAGTAGGCTGGAGGCCATAGCTATTATATAGGCTAGAGGTCGTTGCTAGTTGGAGGCCATCGCTCTTAGGTTTGAGGCCATCACTCTTAGGTTTGAGGCCATCGCTCTTAGGTTGGAGGCCAGTGCCCATCGCTCTTAGACTGGAGTTGGAGGTCGTCGCTCTTAGGTTGGAGGCCATCGCTCTTAGGCTGGCCTCCATTGCTCTTAGGCTGAAAGCCATCGTTCTTGGATGCTCTTAGGTTAAGCCTTTGCTCTTTGGTTGGAGGCCATTGTTCTTAGGTTGGAGGCCAATTGCTATTAGGCTGGAGGCCATCGCTCTTAGGTTGGAGGCCATCTCTTAGGTTGGAGGCCATCACTATTAGGCTGGAGGCCATCGTTCTTAGGTTGGAGGTCATCGCTCTTAGGCTGGAGGCCATCGCTCTTAGCTTGGAGGCTATCGCTCTCAGGTTGGAGGCCATCGCTCTTAGGTTGGAGGCCATCGCTACTAGGTT